AATTCACTAACAACTCTGGCATTATGTGCTGGTGCTCCGTCATATTGAAAATATATCATTTGAGACTTATTTAATGGCAAATTGTCGACCAAAGGCACGATGTGCTGCCTTGACATATTGGGGTATTACCTGAGTTTAAGTTTTTATGGTAGATACTATATGCCAACATTCTATTATCTAAAAGGGCACACCATACATTGAATCCCAACCTTCTTTGAACAGTCAGAGACTTCATTGGTCCAGATGACATTTTGAACAAACAGCAGATTATTTAATTTTTCTAAATATCATCTACAAAATTCTAATCTTAGATTGACATCTCCATCTTCACGTAAATAATGAATTAGCCCCGCTTTGTATGGTGTATACATATTTTTCTTTCATATTCGGGAGCAGCGGCTTTTGGGTCAGATGTCTTGTTCAATAGATTTAAGTTCCTTTAATATATTTTGAAACGATATGTTTAATATTCTGTCGATATTTTGTTGTATTTGGAAACAATAAAAATTGCACTTTCACTTGTTAGGGAGTTTTACCTATATGAAGTTTACTTGTGTGTTCACATGTGCCCCAGGGATGTCCCATTCTGCCCACATTGAGACATTTGCATGAAGTTTTTGAAAAATAAACAATTAAATTTGTATGAGCGAATTACCTTTTATAGACGTTGCATCCCAAAGCCAATGTCTAGAAATAAAGTTATTTCATTCAAAAATAAAGACTTCACATTGGAAAATGTTTCAAACGTCCCAATGTGCCCCCCTCTCCCCTACACTAAATTTATGTCTGATTACGAATCATTGGGTCACATGTCTGAAGTTGGAGCGGATGAATTGGGGAAATCGGATACTTCGAACGAAGTAGTAAATTACGTACCGCACCATTGTGTTCTTAAAATGTCTACTAAGTTGAGAGTAGTGTTTGACGCGTCCGCAAAGACATCCTCAGGATTTTCTCTAAACGATTTGCTCAGGGTTGGACCTGTGGTTCAAGACGATATCAATAATCTTGAGATTTTGACTATATAATTATGTGTTAACTGGGGATATTGCTAAAATGTACCGGCAGGTGAATATCCACCCAAAGCAAAGAAATTTGCAACGAATTTATGGCGTGACGATTCGAATGATACTATCAAAGATTTTACGTTGAATAGTTACTTATGGGACCGCTACAGCGTCTTATTTAAGTACGCGTTGTTTATATCAATTGGCAAGAGATAACGAGATTGCCTATCCTGACGCTGCTAGATCTATTGATCATGATTTTTATATGGATGACCTATTAACGGGTGCAAATTCTGAGCAAAAGGTGTTGCAATTAAAACAGGAAATTTCAGGCATTTTGAGTTTTCAGGCAAATTCGAATTACGAAAATTTAATTCTAATAGTTACAAGGTTAATAATAACACTGAGTTGAAAGATTTAAACTTGATTAAAGCAAAGATTTTGGGAATCGCGTGGGATTCTGTTAAAGATGAATTTAGAATTTCTGTTAATACAGGACGTTTCATGAAGTTCTCCCGGCACTAATGGAGTATGTTGTTTAGATGATTTGTAATAAAAAAGTTCATATGAACATATGTCCGATTCACTTCACTTATTGAGTTATATGAATTTGAAAATAATATTTAAAAATTATGGCGTTACGGCCCAGCGTGGGGCTCAAAGGGTAAGTGTGCTATGATTGCATTAGTAAAATAATGTACTTATTTACCTTACTATAGTAGAAACCACGAGAGCTGGCAGTGACAGATCGCTTAAAAATGGTATGAATCAAGATATGGACGTACGACTTAGATTATTTCACCACATACATATAAATGTAGGTTATGTTAGTAATGGAGGTTATATGTCAAACATTGTCAAAGATATTATTTAATGATTTTCCTTTCAAAGAAAACATTTTCGGCTTGTGAAAACACTAACAGATTCATGACAACGCTCACAAAACGTTTCGATTTGAGGTTATAATTATAGAGTGACATCCCTTAGAAGAACAGACGTACTTTTTCGACGTGGCCATTTGAATTGTACAGCAGACATATTAAACTAATGCTATCTCTTTCCAACACACATTACTCTCTAGCGATTTGTGAACTACGTATGGCATTTGTAAGAGCGGAAAATGATGATTTACTGCCAGCTCTCGTGGCGTCTACTATATCAAATTTGACAAGCTTACCGTTTAATCTAAAATTATTTGAGTTTTATTTGCGTACAATGCCGTTTAAGTTTACGACTGTTTGTATGCTGATATGGTTTTTGTACTAGGAACTTGTGATGGAAACGCTACTGCAGCTTCAATTGAATATCGACGACGTTTTCCAAATCGGCGTGTTCCATCGCCGAAGACTTTTAGTAGTACCTTCCAAGCTCTCCGAGAAACTGGTTTACTTCCGACAAAGATGTGACAAGACGCCAACGCGTGATCGCGGCTTGGCACATGCGCATACGTTCACAGGCGCTGATGAAGATATTCCAGACATGTTTCAGACACATTTGTTGCGAAATGTTTCAAATGAAATGTTTCTGCTACATATTTTAATGATATTTCATAAATATTTCTATTGATACATATCTTTAGATACGTTTCGTAAAAATCGTATCTGTCACGTATATGAAACGTAGTTCTAAGATGTTTCATTTAATTCACTGTACGTTAAAATTGAAATGTTTCACAGATGTTTCTTGTTTACTTGGGTGGCACTCCGACATTCATCGATACCGAACAGCTGAGACTTTGGCCAATCCTCATATATTGAGATCTCTCGTCCTACATTAATTTCAAAGGTTTCCTCTCACCCCATAAATATCGAGCTTACGCAACAAAAAAACTGTGGTCAACCGTGTCAAAGGCTTTAGCTAGATCCAAAAAAACAGCTAGGCAAGGCCTTGATTTCTCAAAACTATTTTTAACTTTTGTTGTAAGTTCCGCAATGACATCACTTGTTGATCACAATGTTGATCACTTGTTGATTACAATGTTATTTGTTCTTTTTTATTTCTGATAAGCAGGACGTCTGCAATCGTGATCACAGCAATGCACTATTTTTTTAAAATGAGAGACTAAGTTGCTATGTACTCCAGCAATGAGCGACGATTTCAGGCTGCAAAAATTGTATGGTTTGCTCAAAATTATGAATAAAAATCGATCAATGCAAAACATTGACTCTTTCATATGAATACATTTTTATGGGAAACAGGTCTAGGAGCTACTAAAACAAGCCTGGCGAAACAAAGAATGGCAAATAAGGATGTATTGCTGGCTATATTTTTGGAATATTTTGAACTACGCTGGAATGTGTGATGGATATTTAATATGTAGTATTGTGAATATTACAGTAGGAATTTATAAAATTCTTAAATTTTAATGACTGTCTTATTGATACAGTTTTTTTAGTACTGTACTTGCTTGGTATATGTGTAATGTGTATACCAAAAGGCGCACACATCCGTCGAGTGGTGATGATCACTACCTTTTTTAATTTAAATATTCTATGTATTCAAAAAAGAAAATATATTTACAAAGAAATATAACAACCATTTCTACAAATTCCAATTTTATATAAAGTACAAATTTAGCATAAACAACTTTTATGGTTCATTATGTTCTTATAAAAAATATATAACTTAATAAAAGAAATTAATAATCACCCACATTAAAACATCCCATCGTGAATACCAATTGGTACTAAAATCGCTAAAAACAATACAAAGTTTCTTAAAACTAGCTTCCATTCAGATGGTACAGCATAAGGTAACAATATCTTTGTAATGCGATGTATTTCATGTGAGGCGCATACGAAAATAAAAGATGTTACGATGATATTTAATACAGGATAACCAGGGATTAACACTAAAACGCCATGAGTATCCGCTGCTAACCATATGTGATACTGGCTGATAAAAAGTTCCAATGATATATTACCAAACCAAGCAAATAGGCTTGAATATTTTGTACGAAGTACCCCTGAAATGTTTCTCAAAAAAATATAGCTTACAATCGGTAAGAAAACTATGTAGGAATGAATTTCTGAACAATCAAGTTCATTACGGCACAGAAAAGTAAATGTTATGTACGAGCCTAAACCAATTAAACCAGCCAAAGTTGTACTTAAAGCTAAACCTCGCGAAAACAAATTGTTATGGTTATTATCGTCATATATATTGTAACGTTGCGCTAAATATAAAATAACAGCAAACAACATCCCGTAAATGGTTGAATACCGATCTAATTTCCATCGCGACCACCATTCGTGAATGTCGTCATCTGTGGTGACAAAAAGCGCTTTCCATGGACGAGTTACAAACACTTTTTCAAAGAAAACTTCCGATAAAAACAAAATGGTTATTACGCTAAATAACGTAATGAATTTAATGACTAAATAAAAGTAATGAATTTTATTATTTTCGGAACTTTGGGCCGTTATGTGAGGTGGTAATGCTAAAACTATGTAAATCATTAAATACCAAAATGACATTAACGGAACGAGATGGTAAAATTGATAAGGTCGATTCATGCATAAACATAATGTAACTGTCATAAAGTTTAGTTCGAATAATGTACGGAAGAAATGTACGATTCCGATGTCGGCGCGTTGCCACACATAGCAAAATTGTTGATATGCTAAAATGAAAATATAAGCCGACATTAAAACTTTAATGTGCATATTTATAGGTAAGATACGACGAGCGCCCGTTACGTTATAAACCAAAATAACCAACTGCATCCAACCTTTCCACTCATTGACCTGATCGCGATGTAAAACTTTCGTTATTTTACTATCTTCAGTAAAAAATAAACCTAATGTAAATACATAACCTATCGGTAACCAAAAACTAAACTCGGAATAGTATTTATTTTCCTTCATAAAGAAATTAGTTCGATCACAAACTATAAAATAAGCCATTATTATCGCCATCGTAGCTAATGATTTAAACAAATTGTAGTAATCGTTTACATCAGGAGGTATACTGGTTTCTGACTCAGCCAAAAGTGTGTATTCTTGAATTGGACGTCCTCGTACTTCACGTAACCATCGATATATATGCATTAATATCGCTATTATTACACTGAAACGAAAAAAAAAACAAATTGTTAGATCAAATAACGTAACATAAACTAATTAATAACTATCAAGAATCTTTAATCTATCCAGATACAATCTCAACAAATCGTTTAAGATAAATCTCAACCCAGGTAATTTCATTTTAAACATCAATTAAAAACATTCTAAACGTTATTTCCTTTTGTCTGATATACCCACTAATTATTTTTTTATCAGAAACTTAATCACATATTCCTTATACAGGGTGCGGCACGGGAACCAAATGGTTTTAGAATAATTAAAAAATTTTTAGATTTTGCTGTTGACGAAATGTATTTGTAAAAAAATGATTAAAAAATTTATTTTTAGCTTTATTCTAAAACAATAAGAAATAGACCTGTCAAACTCTATATTTTTGTAATCAGAAAAAGATAACGAATGTAATAAGCGAATAATCAGTGGTTGTTTTCATTTAAAAAAACGAAAATTGTCGTAAAATCTCAAAATCTAAAACCGAAAAAATATGACATCAAATTCTCTATAAAAAAGTCTCCATATAATGTCTTACTTATAATACTCCACCTATAATAATAACCAAGATAATTGCACTTGCTGGTTTTACGATAGTTTCAATTTTGGCCTCTAGGAAAAAAACAAAAAATGATAGCGCTTTGAGGTTTTCGACATTGGAATTTATTTAAACAAAAAGATCGAGACATGTAAGCTACTTTTTTTCTAACTCTTATAGTTTCCGAGGTAGCCTATTCGGACATCGAATTTGAACCACCCTGTACATAGGATTTCATTATTATTCACTTTCGGAAAATTAAATTTGGCATATGATGACCATTTTCATCGATACATTGTTGAAGAAGATTGTTCTTCAATCTTTCCAACAAGTCTCTATTGGTTTGGGTTATTTGCTGACGTATGGCCTCTTTCAACTCAATCAATGTACGGGGCTTGTCCTTGTAAACATGTTCTTTCAGGCACCCCCGTAGAAAAAAGTCACATGTGGACATGTCGAATGTTCCTATCGCGCACCAAACTGAAACCTTAGGGCTAAGCAGTGGTTTCTCATGGAGGTGTCAAAATCCGTCTTACAGTGCGATTACTGATTCTAAGTGCAGCAGAATGTTTGCGAGCAGAGTGACTTGGGCTTCTCAATATCGCTTGTCTGACACTTTCAACGTTCTCGTTTCGCGGAAACCACAAGATGAGGCAGGCTAAACTTAAAAGATGAGGTTTAAGGTTCCTGTCGAGGATTTTTCCAAACCAGTCTAGCTAGACCATCAAGAACCACTCACAGGGGCTCATCATCCGCAAGATAGTAAGAAACATCCGCTCACAGTCGAAGACAGAGAAAGAACAAGAGACTTTTGCTCGCGTCTTCATTTTCGATGATACGAAGGCAGTCGAATGGTTGAAAAGGAATGAAGATATCTGCTTCCTCTTGTGTTCCATAAAAAAACTTACGTGAATAGATTAAATAATCCTAAAAATTGTGATATGGTAGTTGAGGCGGAGCAGTGAGACACTAAGGTGTTTTCACTTCTGGAGAGAGATAATATTCGTTAAGCTTGATGCTTATCCTAAAATACCGTCTTCATCACTCGACAAAATGATAGATTCATAAGCAGATGATGATTTATTCTTAGTTAATGTGTGAAGATGATTTAATGCAACCTATCATAACAAAACATCAAACCACACGTTGTATCTTTAATCACACGTATACGATATCACGCTGACTTTAGTTTAACCTTCCGTGGAATGACAGCAAAAAGCACGACAACTGGATGAATGTTATCATATTAAAATTCATTTAATCTATCGAGTCTCAACTGTATACAGTATACATTGTGTCTTATAGCAGTACTTATTTACTGTCCTGGGATACTGAATATATCCAAGACAACGTGAAACCTGATTTGCAAAAACACAAGGCTTTAATAGGTCTCGTATTCTTCCGCTGGCAGAAGACGAGGTATTGTATGCAAAAGATTACATATTGCTACTAGAAAGTTAGACACTACTAATGGAAGATTAGGTAGTGCTTGCAAAAGGTTACATACATGCTAGTAAAAAACTTCTAGTCTTCTACCAGACTAGTATTACTTTGTAGTTTAATGTTTGTCCAGGCTTTGTAAAATCTAATAAACAGCATATTACAAGTGAGACAAAATCTACCCTGCTTGAAGTTTATCTTCGAAGTCGGTCGGCTAAAGTATCACACAAAATATTAGGGCGGCCGACGTCTTCGAAGTCGGCCGAGATTATTTCGTTCAAGAGACTGCAGCTTCATACCATGTTAACACAAAACAAGATAGTTTCTATAGATGATTGTCATTTTTCTGACAGTTTTTCAGTGTACAGGGTGGGCAAATTTGGTTGTTATTATAGGCTATCTCAGAAACTATAAGAGATACGAAAAAAGTAAGTGCCATGTCCCGGTCTCTTTTTTCGAGACTAATTCAATCCCGCAAACATCAAACCTCTATCTTCTTTTGTTTTTAAGTTATAGCCAAAAAGTCAAATTTTCGTGATTTCAAAAAATGCTCATATTTCGTTTATTTTTCAAATTATAGGAATGGGGTTGATACGATCTTAAGACACTTTTTTAAGTGGAATATACTGCCGTTGAAACGTTTTAAATATACTTGATGATTTTTGAGATACAACACAAAGTTGTGTTTTTTTAAATACAAACTATACTTGATTATGATGTTAAAGAAAAGAGTATATTTTAAGCTTTCCAATGATGTATCGCATGTATGGTGTATTTGCAGAAAATAAGCGTTAATTTTCAATTCGAAAATAGTAAGCGCTAATGTTCAAAATTTTGATTATAGTAGGCGGGTCCGGACAGTAAATACTACCTAGTGGCTATAATATATGGTTTTGCACGAATATGACAGAATAAAGTTGGTATTGTACCACTATTCAGGATAAGTTGGTTTTGTACCAACGAATAAAAACTTTGAATAGTTAATTTAAATTTCTAGGCATCTTATCCCTGACTTTGTTCACTAATAAAAAATGATTAGCATTTAAAGTTTGTTTATTAAAAATACAAGAAATGTATTAATTAATGTAATATGGACAACTTCAGGAACTAAAGAGTCATAAACTGTCATCTTCTTCTACTCAACTTACTGGTTGTAAGATTAGAACAATGATAACTGATCGGTATCAATGAATGAAATCTTCGGTAGTATTTTCCCAGTTTTCCCCAAACATAAGATTGCATAAGATGTAGAAGTTTTTTGATATCAGCAATCTTTTCTTTTGAAATTGGGTGAGATAGAGGAAAATTAGGAATCATAAACTGGGAGCGGACTTTCCATTGAAACACCGTTTGAATGGGGATATGAAGACTTATGTATCATCTTCAAAGCGGACTCCAATATATTCTATATTTAATTTTATCGTTTTATTTAAAGATAATGCGGAACTTCTTAAACGGGAAACTCGTTTCGCAAAATTCATGAATGAAATGACAAGTAAACTCACGTTGCTATAGTAACTAAGTAGTATTTAGCGTTTTCCTCCCCTACTATAATTAAAAATTTGAATTTTAATCTTTAATATTTTAAAAATTGAAAAATAACGCTTATTTTCCGCAGAAACATCATGCGTGCGATACATCATTGGAAAGCTAAAAATATGCTCTTTTCAGTAATATCATAATAAAGTATAGTTTGTATTTAAAAAAATACAACTTTATGTTATATCTCAAAAATTATCAGCTATGTTAAAAATTTTTCAACGGCAGTATATTCTACTCAAAAAAGTGTCTTAAGAATGCATTAACCCCATTTCTCTAATTTGAAAAATAAACGAAATATGAGCATTTTTTGAAATCACTAGAATTTGACTTTTTGGCTATAACTTAAAAACAAAAGAAGATAGAGATTTGGTCTTTACGGGATTGGATTAGTCTCGGAAAAAGAGACCGGGACATGGCACCTACTTTTTTTTGTATCTCTTATAGTTTCTGAGATAGCCTATAATAACACCCAAATTTGCCCACCATGTACATGGTGTCTTATTGGCCGCCCCAAGTGTTATTCGTGATACTACTAACGATTTTTTTTTAATTATTGAGCCCGTAGTTCGAAGATTATTAACCCAGCGCAAGATTGTATCACGTCATTATGGAATTGTTATGTGTGTTATTATGGTAACAGAGACAGTTTCCGCTCGAATAGACTGCCTAAGTCTGACGTCACAGAGGTGGGCGGAGCTTATACCAACTCCAAACAATAGACTGCCTAAGTCTGACGTCACAGAGATGGGCGGAGCTTATAACGACTCCAAACAATTTCGTTGCTAACGATAAACCGCCAAAAAATGTCATTTAAAATGTCACGTTTAGTTTATTTTATTTTAACACTAAATGAAAAGTTGCATATGGCAGTTTACCGTTAGCAACACAGTTAGCAACGAAAATGTTTGGAGTCAGTATAAGCTCCGCCCATTACTGTGACGTCAAAGCTTAGGTTGTCTATTTCGTTGCTAACGATCAATAGCCAAAAAATGTCATTTGAAATGTCATCACTTAGTTTATTTTATTTTAACACAAATGAAAAATTGCATATGGTGATTTACCGTTAGCAACACAGTTAGCAACGAAAATGTTTGGAGTCGGTATAAGCTCCGCCCATCTCTATGATGTCAAGGCTTAGGTTGTCTATTTTAAGTTGATTTGGAAAAGGTCTTAATTGTAGATATTAAATAAATAACAACATGGGTCTACTTGAATCTAGTTTGCGCGTATTTTGGTGTAGATTTAAAAATAAAATGGTGACGCCGGTTTCAGTTAGGACACGGAGGTATTATTACTTATTCCTGTTATTATTACTATTGAACATTTATTACATAAGCTTGTATAAAAATTACTAAACTACACATATCTGGAGCAAGCTATGACGTGACGCAATTATTGTTATGTGCGTTGCCATGGTAACGGAGACAGTTTAAGCAAAGGTAGTTGCTAGCATTATTAGCTAAATATCATTTAAC